TAAGCTTTCTATGTTGGAGGGCGAGGGTGCACGTGTATTTACTAGAATCATCAATCCATGACTCTGTTAGGTGAATGTCAACATTGCAGATTTTTTTTTAAAAAAGTTTGGGATTCAAAAATAATTTGATTCATGTTAATGATATAATCGCATGTATGCGGGAATTTAATATATATAGTGCGTATCATATAAATAAATAAAAAAAGTATTTGCATATTTATTTCTGTATTTTAAAAATATTTTAAAAAAAATTTAAAATTTTTTATTTACTTTAAATTAATATATTTTTAGTGTATTTAAATTATTTTGATATATTGATATTAAAAATAATTTTTTAAAAATAAAAAATATTATTAATATATATTTTAACATAAAAATTATTTAAAAAAATAATTAAGAAACAAAATAATAGTGTTGGCATGCTTTTTCTCCCGTACAAACGATTTTAATATACAGTAAATGAGAATATAGATAAATTCACAGAGTAGATAACACGAGGAACCACTAATTATTATTTAAAACTCTTATCATATAAAACATCAAACGAGCTAATCTAAACCTTTCAAGGGAAATAATTCAGTAATTTATATGACCAATGGAGCCCAGCTCCTGGATAAAAGATTGGGAATAAATAAATAAATAAATAAGAGAAAAGGAGACGAGCTTGAAAGAGGAAAAAACCGGTGGTTTGGAGGGGGTAACAGAGTAATTTAAACCTGGAAGGACCAGTCAGGTAGTTATCCTAAAGCACGAAGGGAGCACATGAAACGGACATGTAAAGGCGTGGCAGTCGCTGGGTGGCACGAGACATGCCCGTGCTCTCACAAGGTTCTCTCTTGCGACTTGCTTTTCATCTACGGTAACACGTGCTCCCCCTTCATTTGTGGTGTCCCAAGCTAACAACCGAAAATTCAAAGGAGGTCAAAAGAATGAATTTTTTTTTTATGATACAATTACTATCATCCCCGTTTACCCGAGGTTACAATCTGGTCAACGGAGGTCAAAAGAATGAATTTTCTTGTGAATATTTTTTATAAAAACACCCATCCAGTTGTTTAATTATACATTCAGTAATTATTTAGGTGGTGATCAAGTGGTAAAAACTTGAGACTAAGGGGTTTGCTCTTTCTATGGTCTCAAATTCGAGTCCTTAGTTGCTCATATAATAGCCACTAGAAGCTTACATGGTCGTTAACTTCAGGGCCCGTAGGATTAGTCGTGGTGCGCGCAAGCTGGCCCGGACAGCTACATTAATCTAAAAAAAATTATACACCCAGTTTTATAAAAACACCCATGTAAAAAAAATATATATATATATATATATATATACCGATAAACAAACATATCAGTGTGTATAAATCAAGAAAAAAGGCAAAGTTAGGTAGAAAGCTAATGGGTTATTCTATCAGTGATGTCTTGTTTTAAACAAGATTTTTTTAGAGAAAAGCTTAAATAATATGACCGTCAAAATAAAATAAAAAATAAATATGGTATTGACAGTGCCTGACCGACAGTGATCCAGCATGGCCATGCGGCATTGCGTTGGCTGTTAAGAGACAAGATGGGCCTATGGCGGGCCTCTTCTGTTTGGGTTTTTGAAATTTTAGGGCACTAACAACTTATATAAACCTTAATTTTAGGATTTTAAAAAATAATTAAAATATATATAAGCTAGTTTGGACAGTAATAATTAAAAAAATAAAAAAATACGAAAATTTTAAGAGCTAATGAATCCACATAAAAATAAATTATCCATCCTTAAAAATTTATTTATTAATTTTAATATGGCTGAAATATTGTTTCAAACTTTTACTTAAATCAAAACTTAAATTATAACTTCTAATTTATATACCCTGTGCTTCAATGGCTTCGGGTTTTGATTAGAACTCCAAGCGCTCAGTTAGTCATGGTGGTTAAATCTAAATCATCAAATTAAAAAAAAAATATAATTTAAACCCTAAATCATCAAATTAAAAAAAAAATATATAATTTAACATGTAATAAGAAAAAGTCAAGATTTAATTATTATTGTATTTTTTCAACCTAATCTAAACTACTAAATCCAAAAACTAACGTTGAGATTTGGAATCCGAAATAAGAAACAGGCATTTCAAATCAATGGTACTTCCATGGAAGAAGAGGTTTTCACATATTTTTCTTTTACGCACACGAAAAATCCACCGTAATATAGATATTCCACCGTGGATCCAAAAGCTGACGGTGTAGCCTAATCGAGGTGAGGTGCTGTCAATTTCATGTACTTTTTTTTTTCTCATTTTGATAATAGGCTAAAACACTATTCATAAACTTGAAAAAATAAATTCATTATTCAATTAAATTGATAAAATTGTAAATTTATTTATAAAAATTATTAATTTAAATTTATAAAAAACTTATATTATTATTAATTTTAAAATTTATAAAATTAGTTAAAATACCTGTAAACTAATCTAAATATCCAATTTAATAAAAAAAATTCCCCGTATCAAACATATATTACCACAATTGACTCCATATTCAAAAGGCCACTAGTACAAACTACAAGATGGAAATATGATATTTTTTTGCCGACTGAAGCTGGACTGCTTTTAAAAAACTGATATTTAGGATATATAGAAAATTCGGTACACCAATCGCAATTTATCATAATGTCCCCAGTGGCATCCACGTGTGTATTGACATAAAAAATCCCACCAGTCAAATTATATGCCGAGGGAGAAGACTTTGAGCATCTTTTATGCCTCATGAAAAGCCACTTTCTATATACTGCCAGCCACATACGTCACGCAGTTTCGATAAAGACCCAGAAAATTCTCACCATACAGAGCCACCAGAATTATAGCGTGACTGGTACTAATTAACCCTTTAATTAAAGTTGTGATTTCTGGATGAAGGCCAGGGACTCAGCCCCCCCGCAACAGCCTTTGCCCTAAATATAGATTAGTAATAATCTCTAGAAATTAAGAAAAATTGATCATTTCCAAAATTTGTTATCAGATAAGTGAAAAAAACAAATATAATCAGCACATTACAAGTCCTAGTCAGTACAAGCTACAAGATGGAAGCTGTTTTTAGATATCATCGCAGGCCTCCATGTTACATGGATGGGCATGACTTCCCAACTCCAGTGACCAAAATTCCCCTGAGCTGAACTCAAATGGGAAGCATTCCTTGGGTTGATTGGTCTGGTGGTGGATCTCACCCTGCTAGATTTGTGAGAAAGGATGTCTCTGA